TGGAGTAGTAATTCTACGCGGGCATTTTCGTTGGCCATTACTCGGGTGGTTTACGGTTCGAACGGGGGGCAGCTGGTTCTTAACCGCGACGTCGGTTTGCCCACCGACAGTGTTAACTGCCATTAGTGGACTAGCCGGATCGACTGACACCNAACCGCGACGTCGGTTTGCCCACCGACAGTGTTAACTGCCATTAGTGGACTAGCCGGATAGACTGACACTCCCTCCCCCCTGTGCCCGAAAAAATTTCGAACACCTGACTCGCGCTTTATTCGTTCGTGTCGGCAGCGTGTTCGAACTCCGATACCCTGATTACATCCGAATTTACCGCGGCGTCCCCTCCATTCCGATAAGNGGAGGGAAGCCTCATGAAGGAGGTGCCAAATACTCATTTGGCATTCCTTCTTGAGCAGATAGCCCTGTCGTGCCAGGCTCTGACTGAGTTAAGAAGCTCAGCTGAACCACGCCGGAAAAGGAGGAATGACACTGCGGAGGAAATGACTGCGACTCCGACCATGGTCAACGAAGTCGCCGACCAAGTCAGAGTACTCCGTGGTGTCATCGACAAACGGAGAGGTATGGGAGTCCATAGAGAGGTCCAGGAAGCGACGAAGAAACTCGAAGCGGTACTGGAGGGAGAGAGGAGAAGAAAGCCGTCGTCAAGAGTTGGGGTCCATCAGGCCCCACCCGATGAAAGAGCCATGCTGGGTCGGGTTGAGAAGGTACCCACCAAGGAAGCGGGAACACAAACGGAGCACCCCGAGGCTGCAGTGAGCGCCAGCGAACTGAGCACCGGAGTCGCTGCGTCGAATACCCTTGGGGAGAGTACACCGGACGGCGACCTGCCTCCCACCGCCAAGGTGGTCAAACGGGTACGGAAACGCCGGCGTAAGAAAGCTAATGGCAGGAACGATGGTGAAGCGGGTGTCGCCCCACAATCGCAGACTGCGGTTGCGGCGGGCGTCCCAGAACGTGGTAGCGCCTGCGGTGCCACCGCAAGATACGTGGTCGGACGTAGTCCGCCGTAAGGCTCCTAACCGGTCGGCGAAACCTCGTCCAAACCCCGAACCTCTCGTCTCAGCGCGGAGACCCGTCATTAAGGCGAGGGCCCCGCGAACAGAGGCCGTTGTTATCGGTCCTCTTAAAGAGGACCAAAAATATTCGGTCGTGGTCAAGAGGGTAATGGAAGGCGTCGATCTTCAGGCGCTGGGCGTTGTGGTTTCCGGTACCCGCAGGACCAAGACGGGAGCGGTGCTCCTGGAGGTNGTGCGCGTTTTAAACGAAACGTCGTCTAAAACGCTGCGCCTTGTTTAAATCTGTTGTAGGCTGGAGGGGCGGACTAATTCCCTCCTAGCCGATTGCCGTTTCCCGATACCGACGGTCTGTTTGGGCACTGGCGGTGCCAGTGTCGCTCGCCACAATATCGGCACGGGGTAGGCGGTGCGTCCGCATTTGCATAACCCGCTCGCTGTCGGGCCGCTGGTTGCGCGGTATGCCGCGGATGCAGATCGGCTGGCTGTCAGGACGCTGGCGGAGCGTACCGAGGAGCTGCGGTTTTATCTACGTCGTGCGCTATCTCACGTAGATCGGCGAAAGACGCTGGGTGCATTAACCGTATCATAGCGCGGTAATCNAGTGCCGGATCCGGGTCCCACAGGATAAGGGACCGCGCTGTTACAGGTGCCTCGAAAGGGGTCACGTGCAAACGGCCTGTAACGGCGTCGATCGGACCGGTGCGTGTTTCACGTGCAGGGCAGCGGGTCACACGGCGAGGAATTGCCCCAATAAGGTNCCACAGGGCGAGGGATTGCCCCAAGAAGGTGGGAGGAAAGGATAGGCCTACTTAGGGTATCTCCCGTTCTCCTCACCGTTTGTGTATGTTTCTATGTGTTTGTGAATTCTTTTATGCCCACCCTTAGCTAAGTCCTACCCCCACCTCCACGTGGTGCGACCTGGGCAACGGGTCCCACTCTGGGATCCGGCTAACGGGGNCGCCACCAATCTCCTGCCCTGTCGTTCAGAAACGGTACGACGATGTTCACCCATGCGGTTGGGTGTATACTACCCTGACAGAGTAGATCCTCCGCTCTGTCTAGAAACTCCCGTGGGTCCTCTTCGTTTCTCCCGTAATATTCAGGTAAACAGGCGCGTACGGTGCGTAGGTCGTGGTAAGGTACCAGCACAGACCGCGAGCTGCGGGTAGGCGACAAATCATTAAAAGACCGACGACCGTCGGTTGTGTTGGATTGCCCCTCCCGTGGTTGGCGCGTAAACGAAAAATCTGTCGGCTCGTTCTCATATGTATGAGTGCGCGGAATATGTTCGTCTTGCCAACCCGTGCTACTCATCCGTGGTAGCGACGCGCGCGACGCTTGTCCGTACGATCGTCTCANAAGCGACGCTTGTCCGTAAGATCGTCTCATGTTGCGGGATTCCTGCGCTTCGATGTCCGCGAGGCGCTCGTGTAATGTTGCGTCGTGTTGCGTCGGGTCCGTCGCTCCCGATGGACCGAATGTAACGCTGTTCCATTGACATACGCGAGAGCGACCTTTCTAATTCAGACATCCTTGCCTCAATCTGTGCGTTATTCGAAATGTCGCTTATATTCTGTCGGATCGCCCAGACTTGTTCTGCCGCGTGCGCTACCGAGCGGGCAACGTATACGTCTTCAACGCGTAATATACCCCGGTTGTTCGACATCAGACTCGTCGTCTGATGTGTATAGCGCGAGGTTAACCGGATGTTCCTACGGTAAAGGTGCTACGCCGGGCCGCTGATAGTTCGCGTCGAGATCGCGGGTACGGTCCGTGGAGTTGTCTAAAACCCCCACTTCGGGTTCGCGGACTGGAATTTCGCTATCGAGCGGCGTATGGGGCGGTAAAATTTCGGTAGCTGGATTCCTCCCTTCGCTACGTATGTTTTCCTCTAGCATCACTAGCATGTTTGGTTTCGTCGCGTAGCATGGTAGCTGTCTAAAAGCGCATTCGCGACGTAATTCAGCGCAATTCATTTGTGCTAATGTTTTCCCCGACATATTGACCGTGAATATTATGTTTGTTTAAGAATTAAATAATCAAACCTATGTTACTATAATAGCGGAGATAAACAATATCTCCGTGTACGGTCAAATTTACTAGTGCTGTAGAAAACAAGTGTTATTATTATTGCTATTGTTGTAATAATGACCGCGATAAAATGGTCCGGGGCCGCCGTATATGATATGGCAGCGAGTGAACAATAATAATAACGGTTACCCGGGAATCGGCCGCTTTGACAAGGTCAGACGAAAATATACGATTTTTATCTACCAAAAGACTGTAACTATCGGCCGGAAATTCACTTTTTGTCGCTATCAATGAGGTCTTTATAATAAACTGTAATCAACACTTTTAAAAGACAATACCTACGGCGGATTATATTAGATAAACTGCTCTAACTTTATTTTTATAAAAGAAAATTTTCCCAGAGCCCAGGCTAAATCTAATCCCGCTAACACGTAACTGTGCATAACCCAGATAAAAATTCACTGCTGTCACCAGTGAAATCCGTTCAAATAACTATATGAACTAACAAATTTGTAAGGTAGACTTCACCGTTTCAAGTTAAAACTAAAATCTAATATAATTAGAAATTAAACTTAATTGGCTCAAAGCCTCTTACCATAACTTCTCGGCCGGTTTTGATTCCTTTTACGGGGAGCCACTTAACGCGTAATCCAATATACGTCTGGGCCGTTACACAACACGTTCCCGATAAGTAGTATTAGTATGCGTTTAAAAAAAATATATATTTAGTTCACTTTAGCGTTGCTAATATTTCATCAACTCTGATGATTGACGCGTAACAGTACACGTTCAGCCGTGCATACAAAATGCACCCGACAAGTACTATCGATATGTGTGTTAAACTATATTTAACTCCCTTCAGCGTTTCCAATATTTCACCGCACGGAGACTTTCCACGTAACGGTCGATGAAAAATATTATACAAAACAAAAACCAACCAAAGGCGAAAATAAACAACCGAGAAAACAAAAAGAAGAAAGAATCGTGTCACCAGTTAGGTGTACGTCGAAAACGGAACAGACCGTAATATAAGTCATCCATATTCGGCGGCGGCCTTATCTCGGTGTTAAGGACGGGGAGACAACCGATGACAACTGATTGTCATATTAATAGCTGGACGGCTGATATCGAGAGAGACACGGGTGAGCGCCAACCTAGAGCAAAAGGCGGTGTCGTGTCAGACGAAATAAAGTACGAATGTATTTTTTCCATAATAAAGTTTATTACATAAGCTTTAATTTAAGGTATATATAAAAGTGTCAGACATTCCGGAACACTTTCAAAAGATAAGTTGAAAAAGTTCTACTTTCTATATGCATTTTTTAGATTTAAAGCCCCCCCGTATATAGGGAAATGATCTGATTTAAAAAAAAATTATGTTGAATGAAAGATGTATATAAATACTATATTTATAAATATAGTATATAAATACTATAATATATAATTCATGAAAAAATTGTATTGATCCATACATTTTTTAAAAAGTTAAAGCACTTTAAAATAAAAAATGTAAATTATAAAATCGAGAATTTTCATACAAAAATAGCATTTGGTAGCCATTTTCACTATGAAGACAAGTCAAGAGGTCAAATTTTTTTTTTTAAATTAAAGTATATTACATTAGCTTTAATTTAAGATATATATCAAACTGTCAGATATTTTCTNAATTAAAGTATATTACATTAGCTTTAATTTAAGATATATATCAAACTGTCAGATATTTTCTGAAACACTTTTTTCTGGAACACTTTCAAAAGTTAAGTTGGAAAAGTTATTTTTTTGTGAAAACGTTGTCATTTTAAATCCCCCCTGTGGGCAGATAAAGGGTCAAATTTACATAAAAAATATACCAAATGATAGGTAATAAAATTTACTAATAATAGTAATGATGAATAATACTATATTTGTTTTATTTTTTTTAATTTTATTCTTTACACAAAACTATAATGTATCATTTTTTAATTATAAGTACAATATTTTATATTTAGTTTAATTAATCTTGTAATATAATTGTAACAACTAAAATTAATTTATAATTCATAATATTCCATGGTGTCGCTTTGAGTTACTTGCTGTCTTAATAATAGTTTTTAATCTATTGTGTTTTTTGAACTGCTGCATGAAAATAATTTTGATAAAGAAAAAGTAGAAGATGATGTAGAAGATGAGGTAGAAGAAGATTTTTTTTCTTGAATGTGAAGATTTATATATTTATAAATATCATTTATACAGAATAATTGATCTGAAAATAAATTTTGTTAAATTAATGAAATATTATTCAATATTTTATGTAATGGTATTGTTATAATTCTATAGGAGTGCACAATATAACAAAAAACCCAGCACAGTGTGGACGTGGCATAGTTGAGTCAAATATAATGATATCTGACAGTGATTAAAGTGATTATCATAATCATAAAAAACGCTTCAATGAAAATCTGTAGATAGTATTTAATTTAAAAAATTGGTCGATTATTCCAAAAGCTACTAGATCTCTTATTTCCTTATTTGTATTTCGATTACAAGTTTTATTATTTATAATTGTAATATATTTATAATATATAAAGTGAAATGGTTTGATTTAAAAAAAACCAGCACAGGGGGTCGCGGCACAGTGGAGACGTGGCATAGTTGGATCAAGTATAATGATATCTGACAGTGATTAAAATCATTATAAAAAAAAAACGCTTCGATGCAAATCTTTAGATAGTGTTTAATTTTAAAAAATTGGTATATTATTCCAAAAGCTACATGATCTGCTAGTTCCTTATTAATATCCTGATTAAGATATAGTATGTCAAATGAAAAAGAGATTATTATTTAAATGTATATAAATACTAATTCTCATGAAAAAATTGTAAATTGTAAAATCGAGAATTTTCACACAAAAATAGCATTCGATAGCCATTTTCACCATGAAGACAAGTCCAGAGGTCAAATTTTTTTTTTTCAAATTAAAGTATATTACATAAGCTTTAATTTAAGATATATATAAAAGTGTCAGTCTTTCCGGAACATTTTCAAAAGTTAAGTTGAAAAAGTTCTACTTTCTATACGCATTTTAAAAGGTTTGCACCCCCCCTGTATAAAGGGAAATGGTCCGATTTTAAAAAAAAGTATGTCGAATGAAAGAAGTATATATAAAGTATTTATCATTAAAGAATAAAGTTGATTCATGCATTTTTTAAAAAGTTATAGCAACATAATGTTAAAAAATGTAAAATATAATATCAAGAATTTTTTCACAAAAATAGCATATTTTTGCATTCGGTAGCCATTTTCACCATGAAGACAAGTCCAGAGGTCAAATTTTTTTTTTTTATATATATAAAAGTGTCAGTTTTCCGGAACATTTTTAAAAGTTATGTTGAAAATTTTTTGTAAATTAGTTAACATTTTGAAACCCTTTCTGTGGGCTGTTAAAGAGTCAAATTTTCACAACAATATAGAAAATGATAGGTAAATATCTAAGGTATCTATAAAAAAAAAAATTATACTGATTCAATCATTTTTAAAAAAGTTATGGCAGTTTTAAGTAAAAAAAATTGAAAAAATAAAGAAAATTAGAGATTTTTAAATTTGTAATTTTTTGGGGGATTTCCCCCGTTTACGGGGAACGAGGGANTATTTTTTTGGAGGTTTCCCTCATTTACGGAGAACGAGGGAAATTTTTTCAATTTAGTATATTACATTAGTATAAAGTATATTACATTAGCTTTAATTTAAGATATATATAAAACTGTAGATATTTCGCAACACTTTCAAAAGTTAATTTTTTGTGAAAAAGTTGTCATTTTAAATCCCCCCAAGGTTTGCACCC